CTTCTTCTTCTTCTATATCTTAAGGGCCCACGATCAATTTATTGATCATTTTGGCTCCTATGCATGTAGATGGGATTTGCAATGTTTCTGTTCCTGGTGTTGATGAGGAAATTTCACTGATTTCCAGTGCCACTTTGTGAGGGAATCATGCACTAGGGGTTTGAAGGCTTGAGGCAATAGAGTGCAATTGTCGGGAATTTGCCTTCATCTTCCCTTTGCAAAACGGGAAACGTTGATTTTTGGGGTTGGGGGTAAAAGTTTGGAAGAATGTGTTGTCATTGGTGACGTGTCTATGTGCCAAGTTTTAGATCAATAGGTTGACAAGAAGTAGGTCAATAAGCTGTCCGAAGATTTCACCAAACATATATTTAATAGGCCCATATAAAGTATACATTTTGCTACCCCCTTGCCCAGTGCAGCCCGGGGCAGAAGCTGCCTTCTCGGCCCTTAGGTTCGACACTTCATTTCAACTGCAACTCATCTTAGACCACTGGTCTTCAGAGCACAGTCTTCTTGTGGGTAAAATTAAAATCTAAACGAATGCCTAGGTTCAATCAATATTCTTATTCGGCTTATTGTAAAAAATAAGTCTTTCAAATAGTAGACCAAAAAAATAACATCTCTTAAATTAAATTCTATGTGAAAATAAAAAATACTGACCACCCGTTAGCCAAATGACAATAAAAATGGATGCTGAGTTTTTAAAAAATGAAACATTGATAAGTTATTGAAAGAGGCAACGTATTTAAAGACCCGTATTTACCAATACAATTTCAACAAAAAAAAAAATCATCCCATCAAATAAATGGTCGTAGTTATACATCGTAGTGCGTCTTGCTTAACTTTTGAAGTGATCAGCTATACGAACCTAACCCGTGGAATGAGTGGTGGCAATGGCAACGTTTAAAACTTGTCTATGATAATCAAACATCTTAGAATAACTCTTAATATTTCAACTCTTCTTGGGACCTTTCTTCTTCGAAACCCTCCCACACGCCGAGATTAAAATTTACAACAAAAGAAAAAAAAAAAAATCTCAATTCAACCGAAAGCGTAACAAAAATGTTGTCCTCTTCCAGGAACTGAATCACTGGTGCACACATGTGAATTGGGCCGATCTAATGCTGGAGTCGGCTTGCTATTTTGTTTGTGTCAACTTTTGGGATTCTGGGAATCATGACAAACCCTGTAGTCCAGCAACACGCTGTTTTAATGGTGTTCTGGTGTGTATGGTGTTCTGGTGTTCTGGTGTTCTGGTGTTCTGGTGTTCTGGTGTGTATGGATGGCTTGTTTCCACCTCAGGTTTGAATTTCTGGTTACTGACTCATTTCCTTGATAAAAGACTTCCTACGGACATTGACTGCTGGGTAACTCTTTTGTGTGTGTGTGTGGGTGTGTGTGTGTGGGTGTGTGTGCTGGTGCCGCAGTGTGAACAAGAGTGGGTGAAGGGTGGCGTCGTCAACTCAATGGCTCTGTATGACGGTCAAAGGAGGGAATCAAAGTAGATTACTTCTTCACTTTGTGGTGGTATGAACGTATCATTTCAATTACTGCGGTAAACATTTTCTTAATTTTAATCTTTAAAAAAAACAAGAACAACACCCGAGACCTGATCTTGTAGATGATGTTGTCCCAGTCAGTTCACGCATTCTTATGGAATAAGGTTTTAAGCGAAATTTTGTATGTTGTCATTCTCCCTGTAATAACATAGAGTTAAAACATAATCATACAAAACGTCAGGGTGATGCAACAGGCTTTGTCATTTCTCAGACCGGAAAACGTCATAGCGTTCTATTTTTAGAAGGTCGGCGGACAAATATTGCTTAAAACATGGCAGCTTATAGTGTGTTCCTGCATATCGTTCGGAAGATTCTTGTATCTAGAGTTACTGTTACATATGCCGTTCACGCAATAAAGACCCATTTCAGAAAATAGAAGTAAAAAAAAAATGTGTAAAATATTTCGTAAAATAGAATTGTAAACAAGTTTCAGGGACACTCCGCTAGCATAGTAATACTGAACAGTGTTGACATTTTGTCCGCGCTGAGTACCCGGATGATGAGTAATGATGACATCAGTTCTATTAATAGATTTCCGTCATTAAATGACAAGCCCTATAGCAAAAGTTCTCACATTGGAGGAGAACTTCAGCAAAGTTCAATAAGTGTAACTTTGAAATGGATATCTATTCCTCTTAATAGTTGAGCCCTTTTAAAAATATTTTTTTTTATATATAATAAAGATGGCAAAGCCGATCTATCGGCCCAAAGTTTTGAGGCCATTAAAGACCTCTGTGTACAAAGTCAATATTTCTTTCCACACCACAACTTTGGGACCTTGAAATATCCGAGCGCCCCCCCCCCCACACTTACGGCCTCACTCGACGGCCATGCTTTCCACTCAGCTGGTGACATTTCATTCAGGACCACGGGATTTTCGAAAAATGTTGACTAAGTGGTGACACCGGAAATTCTAAGTCACTCAGTTATCTAGCGTTTGATAATGTGTTTTCTTAGAGTTCTTTTAAACAGCTTACCAAGATTTAAACTTCCTGTTAATTTGTGTACCAACATAAGGATATAGTCTTAACATTAATATTGCTTTTTCGCTATGCCGTACTTGTCTAAAAAATGCACAGCAAGCTAAAAGGTCAATCCTCGACCAATACAAATATTAATACACACACACATAATGAATACGCTCTCTACCGGGCGAGGAAAGCTGGTGGTCCATATAATCAGAACCCTCTAGTAAAGAATTTCTTGAAATTGCGTCACATAATAGCATTCTCAAGAACATTCGAACATAAACAGCATTGTTCCAATAAAGGGAGAGGTGGGTAAAAAAAAAAGCACATTTAATCGGTGACGTCAATATCATAAACAAAGAGGAGACAAGTGGTGATCAAAATAAGACCTAGACATATGCCATAACACTGATGATGCACACAATGAGTTTATAAATGATCTGTCAAATCACGTGAAGGAAGCGTATGTCATGGATATGAAGTCTGCGAGGTTATTTTGGAATCATTTTCCTCACACACCATACCTGACCTATCACTCACTGATTAGAGATGTGAAATTCCACGATGGTAAGTTTGAAGAGAATGTAAAATTTCTGACACTCTTAAAAAAACTAGCAAGTGGTGGATTAGACACTGGACATAATGATGTCCCCAGCTTGCCAAAACTGAAACGTATAACAGAACTATTTGCTATCTGCCGTGGTACAGTCCAGGCTTTATTTGGTACAGTCCAGGCTTTCTTTGGTACAGTCCAGGCTTTATTTTGTACAGTCCAGGCTGTCTTTGGTACATCCCAGGCTTTCTTTGGTACATAAAATTAAATGCAGAGCTTAATTAACTTTCGAAAATCTTTGCCATTTTGGATTTGTCCTCATCACAGTCGAATAGAACGTAAGAAAGTCCCTTAGCCACGTGACCGTGCCTGTTACATGATCGTTGTATTGATATGTGTGTACTGTAAGGTTCATGATAGGAATTGTATATGGGATGCGCGTATTGGGGGGGGGGGGGGTTATCGTATTGATAATGTTTAGTATGTTCATATGACAGGGATCATAAAGATATTGATAGTGCTAGAGGTGTGCGAACTTATTACTTATGCCTTTTTACCCCGTCTGGGGCATAGGCCGTCCACAAAATTTTGCACTCATCACGGTCCTGTGCTTTCCTTTCCCTTTTACTTCCAGGTGTATCCCAAATACACCTCTAGCTCACGTCTCCATGCATTCTTAGGCCTTCCTCTCTTTCTTTTTCCCTGTGGGTTCCACGTTAGGCATTGTCTGGTGAGACTATCTGGGGGGTTTTCGGAGCGCATGCCCTATCCATACTGCTTCCTTCATAT